AGTGAGTAAATCCTGCATATATTTGTGCTGTGAGAGGAGATAGCCATCAGCAGTAGGGATTACCTCAATACCCAGAAAATATGATACATCCCCCAAGGACTTCAATGAAAACCGATGAGATAGGGCCGCACGAAATGAAGCAAGCAGGCGATCGTCGTTGCCGGTAAGTAAGAGGTCGTCAACATAGACGAGAAAATATAGCAGTGCATCACCACGCTTGTAGACAAAGAGAGACGAGTCCGAGATTGTCTTAGTGAAGCCAAAATCAAGAAGAAAGGCACTGAGAGCTGTATACCAAGCGCGAGGTGCCTGCCGAAGCCCATAGATGGCACGTTTGAGGCGGCAGACATGGTTAGGATAGATCGGATCCTTGAAGCCAGGGGGCTGGAGCATGTAGACCTCGTCTTCCAAAGGGCCTTGCAAGAAGGCATTATTGACGTCGAAATGAGCAATTGACCATTGGTGAGATAGAGCGAGAGTGAGTACCGTGCGGACAGTAACCGGTTTGACGACCGTACTGTAGGTGTCACCAAAGTCAATTCCGGGGCGTTGATGGAACCCCTTGGCCACCAATCGAGTTTTGAACCGCGCAATAGAGCCATCGGGTTCCCGTTTGACGCGATAGACCCACCTATTGCCCAGGACATTGTAGTGGGGGAGACGAGGCACGAGATCCCACGTCTCATTGGCATGGAGAGCTTTGTTCTCGGCGGTGAGGGCGGCGGACCACTCTGGATAGAGAAGAGCTTCTTTCACGGAAGAAGGTTCCAGCGGAGGGGAGGAGGCAGCCGATGACGAGCCCACTGTTGTATGAAAGAGGCGTTTGGGTTTAATTATCCCATGCTGGGCCCGAGTAGTCATCCCGTGAGATCGGGCCAGTGGAGGAGGCTGCACGGGCTGGGAAGGAGGAGGCCCAGGCGGTGTAGTCACAGGCCCAGACGGTGGAGGAGCAGGCCCAGGAGAGGACCCAGCGGCCGAGGAAGAGCCAGCAGATGTTGAAGAAGAGTCCGCGCTAGGAGGAGCCGATGGTGAGGGGGAGTTGGGCCCAGGCGGGGCTGGGCTGAGCAGAGGTGATGTGGGCCGTGTTCCTGGTAAGTAGAGGATGGGCGGGGTGGCATCGAACAGCCAAGTAGCTGGATTGGGAATGGCAGGAGCAGCTGGGGAGGAGTAACCTGGAAATTCATTTTCAACAAAATGGACATGACGGGAAAGAAACAGGCGAGTGGTTAGGGAATCAAAGCATTTGTAAGCACTCCTTTGAGGACAGTAGCCGAGAAAAATGCAAGGACGGGACCGTGGGGCAAGTTTATTCGGGGCATAAGGGAGAAGCCATGGATAACACAAGCACCCGAAAATTCGAAGCTTATGATAATTAGGAATTTGATTGAACAGAAGTGTATAAGGTATCTGGCCACGAAGAGCAGAGGAGGGCATACGATTAATTAAATAAATCGCAGTGGAAAAAGCATATGACCAAAAAATGGATGGAAGTTTAGCTTGATGAAGGAGGGTGATACCAGTCTCGACAAGGTGACGATGTTTGCGTTCAGCTAAGCCATTGTGCTCCGGTGTATGAGGAGGAGTGAGAAGGTGAGTAATACCATGGTTAGAGAGATCATGACATAATTTGATGAATTCACCACCTCCATCAGTATAGAGCCGGCGAATGGTAGTGGAAAAATAGTTGGCAACCATGGTACAAAAATCGAAAAATATTTGGGAAACATCGGATTTACGACGGAGAGGATAGTACCAGGTGTAACGAGTGTAGTGATCAACAATAATCAAGTAAAACCGATAACCATCAAGAGAAGGAACAGGAGCAGGGCCCCAAACATCAGTGTATAATAAATCAAATGGTCTAGTACTGGTAAGAGTAGAAACACCAAAGGGCAGTTTATGGGATTTATTTGAAAGACAAGCATCACAATGACTAAACGATGATGATGACGAGACTGGAAGAGAATGGGAGCGGAGCAAACTGCGAAGAGAATGAGCTGATGGATGACCGAGTATGGAATGCCAGGACTGTGTGGAAGTGCGAGTGGTGACAAGGGCCATGCAAACAGGTTCGGTCGTGGGCGGAAGCTCGTACACATCACCTTTGTTTTCCCCTCTCAACATCAGCGCCCCCGTGCGAAGATCCTTAACAACAAAATGCGTGGCAAAGAATTCCACGGACACTGGGTTAGTACGACATAATTGAGCCACAGAAATAAGATGCCGTTTAATGGAAGGAACATGTAAAACATCTTGTAAGGATAGAGAATGCATGCCAGCAGATAATCGAGAAGAGCCAATATGGCTAATTCGCAAACCTGAGCCATTACCGACAACCAGTTCGTCGGGCCCTGTGTAATCCGAATAGAGGGATAAATTCCCAAGGTCTGCAGTGACATGGTGGGAGGCAGCTGAATCCATTAGCCAAGGAGTGGATGGGCCGGATGTGTGCTGCGAAACAGAGGAGCCAGCATTGGAGTAATGGGCTTGGGCCTGCCGAGTTTGAAGATGAGCCTGGCGGGCTTGAGGAAAAAGGCGAAAGCACTGGTGCACAGTATGGCCAGGCTTTTCGCAATACTGGCAGACCTGCCTGGGTCGACGAGGCATTGGGCCGGATGGCTCACGTGGGGACGCTGGGCCGGAGAAGAGCTGCTGCCGAGGCGGGCTGGGCTGCCCACGGGGAGATGACCCAGCGAAGTAGGGCTGGGTTGAAGCGCCGCCACGAGGAGGACGAGACGGAGGAGAGCCGCCCTGCTTCTGACCTTGAGAATAAAACGCCGTCGGTACGGTGGTTTGGGGACGAGCCTTGATGTCAGCTTCAAACTCCACCAGCGAATCCACGAGATCTTCAAGAGTGAGGCCAGGACCTCGTGCACGAACAGTGGCGGCGAAAGCTTGGTAATCTTCGCCCAACCCTCTGAGACAATGAACAATCAGATCAATGTCTTTCACGGGCTCACCAATAAGGGCGAGTTCAGCAGCAGTGGATTTGAGATCGTTGATGAAGGTGAGAATGTCCCTATCTCCCTTGATTGATTTGGCGAGCTTTCCCTTTAAGTGAATGACGCGCGATTGAGCGCTGCTGGCGTAAAGCTTCTCCAGAGTAAGCCAGGCTTCACGAGCAGTGGACGCCGCCGAGACAAACGAGTAAATGGATTCGTCAATTGAGCATCTCATGGCATGAAGGATGAGCTTATCCTGCCTAAACCAATTGCGATAAGCAGGATTAGCGACAGAAGCCTCATCGATTGTGATCGATTGAGGAGGGGCGACTGTAGTCCCATCTAGATAGCCAATTAAATCGAGCCCCATGAGAAGGGTTTCAAGCTGAGAGCGCCAGGAGGCGAAGTTTGAAGGAGTTAACTTCAACGGAAGCTGAGCGGCTGGATTGAAGGTAATGATTTGGATCTCTGAACTTGTGGATCCTTTGCTGGAATCGGAAACAGTGGAGCCGCCAGTCATGATGACTAACAGAAGAGCAGAAGAAGGAAATAGGAGAGAATGGATCTAGCTGATCGTTGCTAGCTCTGATACCATGTAGAGTTTCAGAGATTGTGGAAAACTTGGATGATTTTCTCATTGATGATTCCAGGATTTAATATACAAAGTGAAGAGTGGAGAATAGCTGGACGTTGCAACAGATGCAAGCCACTATCCACAAGAGTAGGAACAGAATAGGAGAGTGGAAATAAATAAATACAATAAATAGGAAAAATATCTATATATCTCTAATAGACTGCTGGTGATGCTGTAACTGGTCTTCAGTTCTCCCATCCCGCCGTGGTCGCCGATTCAGTCGTCTTCTTCACCGGCAATAATAAGAAACCGGCAGAGCTCTGTTGTTGATGATTGTGTGGTACCGCTCGCTTTTGGCCTGCGGCCTCTTTTGCCAATTTGGAGCTTCTGTCGTTTCTCCGTCCAGTATGCAGTCGGCGGGGCGACGGAGCGATGGCGCCAGCATCGACGTCGTGGTTGTGCGATGGAAGTCAGTTCGGCAGTGCCGGCTGCCGCTTGCCTACCCGCTGCCCGGTGATATATTTCTTTCATTATATTTTATTAATTTGTTTCTCTTGTGCTTATCTTGTTTGACAAAGTGCAGTGGTGGTGTCAGATGTCTGGGACTCTTAGTGTGCGCGACATGACATGCTCCGGCACTCTGCCAGCTGTTCTTTTAGGAGTGTGTCATTAAAGTCTAATTGGATGACACCTCCTGGTCATTCTCTTGGGCCTTTTGGCCTAGTTTGGTTGTTTATGTTTTACAGGCCACACTCCTCGGGCTGTTGAAGTGGCTTTTCTTGGACAATACGGGCCAAGACTTCCTGGAGTTTGCCTTTGGTTTATTTGGTGCCTGCTTCGACAAGCCCAGTGGACTGGTGGCTTTGTGTGTGTGGTTTTGCAGGGTTGCAGGGAAATAGTGAAGATCCATATTCGCAAATATTAGAGGATGTGGGCAGGACACGCGTCTCTAGCAGCTTTTGGCCATTTTTATAGGGCTTGTGTGGCACAGGCCTATCTGTATTTTGTTTTGCAGGCAAGCGGAAGTTCCTCTCGTCTGGGCTTTTGGCGTAGTTGGGCCATTACAATTGTCTCGATTGTCTATGCTTCAATTTTCAGAATCGGCAAGGGTCTGCTTCTCTGCTTCAATGTTCAGCGTGGTTAATTCATGATTTTGGTACTTTTAAGAGGAGAAATCATGATATTGCCCATGTCCTTAAGGTACCAAGGGCTGCCCATATCGTGGCAAAAAGAGCCCTCTTGTCGTTGGATCCTCCGACGCTTCTTCCTTATTTATCTTTTGTATTTTGACCTGTAAAGGTTTTGTACTTATATTTCGTATCTTGCTGTTTCCCATCTTGTGGGATACCTTTGGCAAAAAAAAAAAAAAAAAGAAGTGCACTGCGTTTCACACTGAAACGATCGGTTACAACAGCGTTTCCGCCTTCCATGACGTTGATTGCTCTGCCACGTGGACGGACGAGATTATACATTTCAATAGCCACCGAGAAAACGGAAAAAGATCACAGATTGCGCGCAAACCATCTCCCACCTCCAGAAGTCTAGTCGGAATGACTCTCTGCTTCTGCTCTCTTCCTCGGCCGTCGCCATTGATCCACCAGCCGCATCTCCCATGGAATCCAAACCCTAACAGCAGATCGAACTCCTCGCTTTCCCTCTCAACTCATCGCCTCGCTCCCTCTCCTCTCGCCGTCGTCAGAGTCGCCCAACCAGGCGCTGAAGTTGCATCTCCATCTCCGGAGAGCGCAGCGATACTTCCGGCGGGCGAAGAAGAGGCGCTGGTTACAGGGCCTGTGAATGGATCCTCGGTGGAAGAATCGGAGGTCAAACCGACGAGAGTTAAGAAGAAGAGCAGGGAAGACGAGGATAGCGTCGACAATAGGTTCACGCTTCGAAATGGAAAGGAGGTGTGTTTGAGACTTTGAGACGGATTGTGTTATTTTGAGCTGTTCTGGTGAGAATTTTCTTCAATTGGTGATTTTTTGAGGAAGTGATTTTCTCCATTTCTTCCAGGTTTTGGCTGAAAATGCATACCTAGTTGGAGTTGAGCGTAAAGGAGATCCGGCTAATACTTTTGGCATAGAGGAGTCGCTCAAGGAATTGGCTCAGCTTGCGGACACTGCTGGGCTTACGATCGTTGGCTCGACGTATCAGAAGTGAGTGTAGTTTCTGAAGTTTTTTAATATGTGATTTAAGAAGTTGGAATCAATGGTGCTGCTGACTGATGCTCAACTTGTGTAGCTAGATACGAATTTGTGGATGAATATGACTAGATTCATTTAACTTTACGAACGTGTTATCAGACTGAAGCTTGTACCGTGTTTAATTCACTGTTTTTATTGCAGACTAAGTACTCCAAATGCGAGGTCATACATTGGCTCTGGCAAGGTCTCAGAAATTAAGAGTGCGATTCATGCTCTAGATGTTGAGACTGTGATATTTGACGATGAGCTTTCTGCTGGGTAAGATATTTGAACTTGTGAGCTATGCCACCGGAACTTGTACTTGCTCCCCATTAGAGTGAATCTTGATCACCATACATTGATATGTAAATCGTGTTTTTCAACAATCTACTCCAGTTCATATTTGAAATCCTAGGAGCTTGAGATTTTTCAGCAATCAGTGTTTCATTTTAGATGAAGTAAGATGGTACTTTAGTTGTGTTGTCAATGGGTGAAGAACCTTTTCTTATTGTTGCTTTAAATGTGGGAAGTTCACTAGCTTCTTAGGGCTTGATCAATACATAGCTGTAGCTGCATTACATCTGTGAGTTCTTCGTGTTTCCTTCTGCTCTTGTGGTTTCCCCAACCTGTCAATGTGGTTCTACTATGCTCTTCTTTAAAGATGAGATCTTTGTTAAGTGTTATTATTTATTTTTGTTCTTTTATCAAATGTGCTTATTAGTATTACCGAGAATCAAGTATCTGCCATCTGTGGATATTTTCAAACTTATTTTCCAACTATCTTCATTTAATCATAGGCAACTTCGTAATTTAGAGAAGGCATTTGGTGAAAAAGTTAGAGTTTGTGATCGCACTGCCCTCATCTTGGATATCTTCAATCAGAGAGCTGCAACTCATGAAGCATCTTTACAGGTAAGTATTTTGTAGGTTTGACTGTGCCATGAATATGAATACACTATTTTCACTATGATTTCTATGGATTGTTTCAACTGTCTTCTAGGAATCCTTTTTCTTTCTTGTGGTGTTTCTAGTTAACCTTTTATGGTGTTGTCTAGGTTAATTGTATAGCTTTGTCCTGGTAAATAGCTGTTTTTTGGCTTGTTATGCATGGTCTAAAGATTAGATTCTAGTGTGATTTCTTTGTTTCTGTAAATGAGTTTTTTGGTGGGTTTTGGGTTCCTCTGAGTTTGAAGCATTGTAGTTACTTTTGCAATAAAATAATTTAATTTAGTTGTGCTGAAAATTATATGGTCCTTGTAGGTCGCATTGGCTCAAATGGAGTACCAGTTACCACGGCTAACAAAGATGTGGAGTCATCTCGAGCGTCAAGCTGGTGGCCAGGTCAAGGGTATGGGTGAGAAGCAGATTGAAGTTGACAAACGTATCTTACGTACTCAAGTAATGAATCTTTATTGCTTAAACCTAGTAATAGTTGGCTCATTGTACAAGAATATTAATTTGTACCTATCTTTCTGCCTCTTATGAATTTACATGGTCATTTTTCAGCTATTGAAAAAAAAATTGACACCAATTTCTGATCTCCCTTTTTGTTTAGATTGGAGTTCTAAAAAAAGAGCTAGAATCTGTCCGGAAACACAGGAAACAGTACCGAACCAGACGTACTGCAGTACCCGTTCCTGTTGTATCTTTGGTAAGCAATAAGCAAATACATAACCTATTTGTGTGATTCATAAGCACAGAGGAAAATATATTAGGTAAATAGCCCATGGAACAGTAATTGATGCTTTCCGCTATGACATTTACAATATTCAGGTAGGGTATACAAACGCTGGGAAGAGTACTCTCTTAAACCAATTGACTGGAGCAGGTGTTCTAGCTGAGGACAAACTATTTGCTACTCTTGATCCTACTACTAGAAGGGTTCAGGTAAGTAACTTGACTAATGACAAACATCTTTCCAGTTTGAATCTTCTTACAGTTTCCTTATATCCTCAGGGTAGTCAAACTTGCCACATTTTCAAAATTTGTAGCTAATATAATTAATGAATGAATGAGCTGTAACCTCAAGTTGGTTTGTGTGGTATTGCTAGAAATAGATTTCATTGGCTAATGATTTGAAGTACCAGATAAACTTGAAGGAAAACTGAAATAACTGCTGTTTGGTTGTGGGCCAGATGAAGAATGGAAATGAGTTCCTCCTCACTGATACTGTTGGTTTCATACAAAAGTTACCCACTACCCTGGTAAGGCCTTTTTACCTTAGAGGTGGCTTTTCATTAACCCTTTTTTTCATGTTTTAAATTTTTGCTTGCTGCAATCTCATATGCTAGTCAGTCAGTCAGGTTAGTACGAATTTAGGGAAAAACATATCTGATGGGTGGTTCTGGCAGGTTGCTGCTTTCAGAGCAACACTAGAGGAGATTTCTGAGTCTTCGTTAATGGTGCATGTGGTCGACATTAGGTATCCTGTTGTCTAACAATTAATTTAAATCTGTTCCGCACAATCTTTTTCATCTTCTTACATCACAATGCGTCCACAAAATTTCAGTCATCCACTAGCAGAGCAACAGATTGATGCGGTGGACAAAGTCTTATCAGAACTAGATGTTTCATCAATTCCAAAGCTAATGGTTTGGAATAAGGTACACTGATAACATTTACTTTGAGATTTTGATCTTTTATCAGTAATCCGCTGAGCTTCTACCTCAATTGTCGCAGGTTGACAAGGCCGCTGATCCTCTGAAAACAAAATTAGAAGCAGCAAAACGTCAGGATGTTGTCTGCATATCTGCTCTGACTGGGGATGGGTTACAAGATTTCTGCGATGCAGTCCAGGACAAATTAAAGGTACAGAATAAAAACAAAATAGTGCTGTTTGATTCTGTTACTCGATTTTTACACATGAAACCTTTGTCACAGGACTCAATGGTGTGGGTGGAAGCTTTGATTCCCTTTGACAAAGGGGAGCTGCTGAGCACAGTACATCAAGTAGGGATGGTGGAGAGAACTGTAAGTATTCTCCAAAAGTTGTTAGATGTCTTCTGTCGGTTGTGACGTTGAGTTTCTGATGCCCGTTTTCTCACCTGCGTAGGAATATATGGAGAACGGGACACTAATCAAGGCACATGTACCCCTTAGATTTGCACGTCTACTGACTCCGATGAGGCATCTTTGTAAAGTATAATCTCCTATGGGAGGTGGATCATACAATGTCAAATTACATGTTGTATGAGTGCCAGTCTTATAGAACAGCCTCTGTTGCTCATCTGTCGAAAAACTTTGTACATGTATATTCTCTTCTGAAATCAATCCCAAAAGGCAAAGGATGCCACATCTTTTTCTGTATATTATCCCTATCCCTTAAATTAAAATGTTGATGGTCCTCACTGGACTGGTGAACTAAAGGATGCCATCTCCTGATGGCAGATGGCGCTTCCTGCCCAGTTAAGTTGACTTCCACGTTTTCTTCAGTAAGTAAGTGCAGTTTGGGGATTTGGTTGCTAATGGTTATCATTTTGTACCTCATTTTTGTTATGAGACTGTAACTAAGCTTGGTTTATACTTTTCAGACAGCTCAAATATGCAGCCAAAAGCCTCAGTACAAGCCAACCGGAGGAAAGTGCAGGGGACCAGGCATGGGAGATGATGTTTGCATAGATATGCATCATCAAGGCATGGCCTTGGAGCAGTTAGTAACAGAAACTACTCCACAGACAAAAGAAGCCTTCCCTTCACATGCATCCACCTCTAGAGGTTGAAGACAAAATCAAAGCTATCTGGATTAGGTGGTGCTACTGAAGGATTTGGTAAGGGAGAGTGGTTACGTTCTCCATGCATATAAAGTATTGCCAAGGATACTGCAGAATCATAGATAGCTAAGAACTGATTTCCTACTTACTTGCTTACCAATGGCATTCTGCAAGGTCGCCTTCACCTTTTCTGTGATTTTCCTTTCATGCAACACCATCGTTTCCTTTGCTCACCCTGTAGGTTTCGGCTGGTGGGGTGGTGATCGTGCTCCTGTTTCCAGCATTGGATCTGCAGGTCTGTTTCCCGGATACTATCGAGTTTCCTGCCCTCAAGCTAACGAAATTGTCATCTCGGTGCTGAAAAGGGCCATCTCTGGAGATCCCAGGATGGCTGCTTCCTTGCTCAGACTCCATTTCCACGATTGCTTTGTGCAGGTCCCACTATCTTAAACACAACCTACGTACACTAGAAAACTATTTCCTTTTATGCTTCTTTAGTTACACCATCTTAATTTTTATCTTTTCCAGGGTTGTGATGCGTCAGTGCTATTGGACAGTACTTCAAAGATTGCTAGTGAGAAGAATGCAGGTCCAAACAGGAACTCTCTCAGAGGATTTGATGTGATTGACGAGATCAAGGCTGAGTTGGAAAATGCTTGCCCTCAAACCGTCTCTTGCGCGGATATTCTTGCCATGGCAGCTCGTGGCTCTACTGTACTGGTAATCAGCAAAAGCTAAACCTCAAAGACGCTTAATTAACTTTGCATCTAGCACCTCCACACTTAGCGGCCAATTTCATGAACTGTCACTAAACTTTCATATTCATTGAATTTGTCATTTAAAGATAACTTGAAACATGATGGTAGTCTTGGATAAATTTGATAGAAAACTTGATGGAGAGAGTTGGTGACTAATGTGTTATGTAGTAATTGACTCCACAAAACTTGGCCATAATGGTCTGTGTCTTTGTTTCTAGAGCGGTGGACCAAGTTGGGAGCTCCCCTTGGGAAGAAAGGACTCGAGAACAGCAAGCCTCGGCTTGTCCAACCAAAACATCCCACCTCCGAACTCCACCATCCAAACCCTCATCAGTCTCTTCAAACGCCAAGGCCTGAACGAGATCGATCTTGTCTCCCTCTCCGGTCAGTGATCCTCTTTTCCCTCGCCACTCAGATCTCAAAACCCTTCTCTAACTTGTCACATATAACAATGTACAGGAGGGCACACGATTGGAATGGCAAGATGCACAACGTTCAAGCAGAGGCTCTACAACCAGAACGGGAACAACCAGCCCGATCTGACGCTGGAGAGGACTTATTACTTGGGGCTGAAGTCAGTCTGCCCACAATCAGGCGGCGACAACAACATCAGTCCTCTGGATGTGTCCTCCCCTGCGAGATTCGACAACACCTACTTCAAGCTCATCCTGTGGGGGAAAGGGCTGCTGACTTCCGACCAGGTGCTGTTCTCTGGCAATGTCGGGAACACGATGCAGTTGGTGAGGCGATATGCAGAGGACGAGGAGCTGTTCTTTAAGCAGTTTGCCAAGTCTATGGTCAGAATGGGGAACATCGGCGCTCTTACTGGGCTCAAGGGTGAAGTTAGAAAGAACTGCCGCCATGTAAATTAATCGATCGATTGATCGTTGAGCTGTGTCTAGTGTGCGTTTGGATATAGTTGAAGGATATGTCTGTGTTATGATATGATCATTGCAATGCAATCTGGTTCCACTGTCAGGTAAGCTATGATGGCGACCACTAAATTCACCAACGGTCTAATATAATAGCTGAGTTGTTTCTTTTGGCTTTTATGCAACCATTGAATGATGTTGGTCTTCTTGATCTATGTTGTAGTTGTAGATTTTGTTCATATTAAAACGAATTCTTGGTAGGCGTAGAATTGGTAAATGGTTAGTTGTAGTTGGCAGTTGGCTCAAGATAGTGTGGGTTATGCACCTATCAATAACTAAATTTGGATTCTTTATTTAGAAAATTCAGATCTAAGGATGGAAATGTAATTTTTATTTTCCCTAACTTTCTTAATCAACTTATATCTTCTTCGTTTTAACTCGGATTTTAATTTTCTTTGCACAGATGGAACGAGTTCGTTGTGCTCTACAAAATGAGATACATTTTCAATATTTTTTGAGGAAAAAATTTCTTGTCTCTCGGTACCAACTGCATACCATATGGTATCTTCTTCGTTTTTAATTCGTTTTTGAAAACGTTTGCACAGAAGGAACGAGTTCATCGTGATCTATTGGATCTACAAATTTCTAGGTGAACAAATTACAAGACCAAAAAATACCACACAATACCATACAATACCACCCTGGTACGGGGTGGTATATTGTGGTACACAATGTTAAAAGTCGTAAATGACAGTTAATATACTTCTACTATCATGTATTCAACCATCCTACAGTCTTGGATTGTTCATACCACCATGGTACGCTTTTCAAACCATAGGTATGCTCTTATTACAATACCAGTAAATACCATATGGTATAGACTGATAAAAATGGCTCAATTTTTTTTGTTCGAAAAATATATCAAAGTGGATATCATTTTGAAGAGCATAATTAATCTGATCTAACTGTGAAAAAAAAATTAAATTTCGACTTAAAACGAGTGAGAAATCGTCCGTCAAAGATTAAGAAGAGGAAAATTAAAGGCTTTCCAGAAAATAGAGGGATGTTGATGTCATGCTGAATGTGAACGGGTTACTCATGGTTACTCACCATAAGGCTACTGACCTGATCCGTTCCCGTTGTAGTTAGTGGTTTGCTGATAATCGATAATTTATTATTGATTCATTTTTGGTTAGCTGTATTTTATTTAGTGGTTAATTGCTAATCAACTAATTGATTAGTGGTTAATCGATAACCGTCTAACAGTATAATTATATAATTTTGGGCTTTGGCAAAAGGAAAACGTTCCAACATTTAAAGTCAACCAAAATAGAAATTCCAAACATCTCAATTCCCACATATTTCAAACAACCCTCCACTCATAGCTTGAATTATGTTTAAGAGTCAGAACCCGTAATCTCACTAACTCCCATTTGCAGTCGACAAATCGAACCTCACACCTTAGTGGTCTTTGATTTTTTTTTATGTTTGTGAATGACGATGATGATCTTCTTGTATTTGTGTTGATGCCTTGTTGGTTGGTACTCGTTAATTGTATGAAGAAGTTTGATTGTTTTTTCTTTTATGTGTTGAAATTTGGATTTAATTATGAATTCTCAATGTATGTCGTATTGTATTGATGTTATTTCTTATCATTATTCTTTTATGTTCATAATGTAGAAATGTAGTTAAATCATTTTGAATGATTTGTATGATTATTTGTTATTGTTAAAAATCAGTTGAATTTCAGTATGCATTTTTTGCTTAGTGGTTAACCCAAAACTGAACTGAGTACCACCCTTAAATTTCTTTGTGTTTGATAATAGTAACTAACGAAATATAAAATAGGATTTTATATGTTGAATAGTGAATAATGTGTACATGAATTGTTTAAAAAATAATAATTTTAGGTTCAAAATAGTGTGGAGATCTAAATTTACCACTTTGGTTAAAGTAGTTGGGGAAATAACTAATTTTATTGTATCATTATAAGAGTTCAATCGAGCTAGCTAGATACCACTTCGCCTTCACGATTGAACTATAATCTCAGCTGCTAGTAAGCAAGTAGAAAGGACGCATCCAAATCGAGTTTGCAACTAGCTTCTTGGCCCTGTGGTGATTTTGATTCGCTATTAAATTCTAATTTGAGTCATGGAACACTTAAAAAAAGGAATGGACTCAAGATGTACGATTTCTTAGATTGAGTACACATAATGGAATTGGTCGATCATTCATGTCCAATTTTTGCATGGACAAACAAATAGACCAATGAAAGAAATGAGAACAAATTGGAGCAATGATAGAAACAAATACTAAACATTGTATACTTAATGAAACAATAACTTTTAAACCTAAATAACATTTTTTGGTGAGAAAATTATGCGAAACTAACACTAAATTTAATAAAATTGTATGCATATTATAACCGACTTACACAAAATAAAAGACGATGATCTTATCTTTGATGTTTGAGAATTGTAAACCGTCTTCCAATACTCCTAGTGTTTGCCTCAAGTGTTAAAGAAAATCTTTTTCATATAATGTTCTCTTCCAACTCCTTTAGTTTCGGGCCAACTTTGAGGAGCACCACATTATTGTTTGAGATATTAGTCTTAACAGGGAGGAAACATTGAAAAGACAATGTCACACAAGAATAATTTTTCTTTTGTGTTTCCTTCAAGATTGGACTACAATATAATCTTAGATGGTAGCAAGCAAGTAGAAAGTACATATCCAAATCGAGTCTGCAACTTGCTTCTTGGCCCAATGGTGAGTAAGTGGTGCTTTTGAATCGCTATTAGAGTCATAGACTACTTCAAAAAAAAGTTCAGAATCGACTCAAGATGTATGATTTTTCAAATTGAGTGCATATAATGAAACTGGTTGATCATTCACATCCAATTTTTGCATTGACAAACAAATACAACAATGAAAGAATTGAGAACGGATTGGAACAATGAGAGAAACCATTACTACCCATAGTTTCAAGAAAAATGAATAAAACATAGATATTAAAGATTTGTTTTTTACTTAATGGAACAAGAATTTTTATAACCTAAATATTGTTTGTGGTGGAAAAATTATGCAAGAGCCAAGATGAACACATAATTTTATAAAATTGTGTGCATATTATAACCAACTTACACAAAATAAAAGACGAGAAACTTATCTTTGATGCTTGAGAATTGTAAATCGTGAGTTTTGCAAAACAACTTTTTTCGAAGACATCCGCATCCTGTAAGCAGGTTGAAATTGACGTGAAGGAGCTTGGCAGTGAGATTCCAATCGACCCAAGTGAATTTGAGATGTACAATGCTATGGACCAAATGTCTAAGCCGATGAAGAAGGGACTTGTAAGTTTCTTGTACATACTGATCTGAGGATCAATTTGAGTTACTTTTTTGCGACCTTTGCATAGACCAGAATTGCTTAAACCTCTCAAAGTTTTCTCTAATACTCCAAGTGTTTGCCTTGAGTGTTAAAGAAAATTCTTTCCCCTATTATGTTCTCTGTCAACTCCTTTAGTTTTCATGTTAACTCTGAGTCTGAGGAGCACCACATATATGTTTGAGATCGTAGTCTTAACAAAAAAAAAACATTGATAAGACAATGTCACACAAGAATAAGTTTTTTTTGTTTTTCCACTAATTAAGCTAAGATAAACACTTTTGTTCTTTGGCCAAAAGTTGTTAGCGGAGAGAATGAGAAAATGTCATTAGTGCTCAGAGGATTAAATTCGTATTATATATATCAAATACATGAACAGCTATACCGGGTTAATCTAAATCACAACTAGTTTTAAGAATCATTAACTTTTTCCTTGCCCTTTCAACACAAATTATAGAATTAACTGTAGTTTTGTGCTATTAATATAACTAAAGTGATATACATCCCTCAAAAGAAAATTATATACAATTCATTTAAGAAATTTAATTATGGAGAAAAACAAATGATTCATATGTATATCCAAGATATATCTTTGGTTTTGAATTCTGTAAGACTTAATATTCCTTAATATCTCCTTCATTACTATTGAGATTCCCTAGATCATGTTATGTTCAAAGAATTGATTTTTCACCATCTGGTATGCTTTCTTTCCCATGATAAACATATTTTCAAAACTTATGACAATAGTCTAAATGTTTTTTTTTTTGAAAGGTCAGCTATACAGTTTCCCCTAGTAAGTAGATTAGTTTCCCCTAGTAGGTGGAACAATTTGATTTTCTCATCTACTACTATCTCCCTTATTCTCACAAATCTAATTCTCTACAAATGTTTAAAAATGAATTCATCAAGTTATAACTTAATAGAAGTCACATGGTTGGAGGAAAATGTTACACCATCATTTTAATGATTGTCTCTCGAAACATTATGCACGAGCTTGAAAAGGACCCAGGAAAAACTTAGAACCACAATGTATGAGAAAATGTCATTGGAATGGACTTTCGTAGTTCTACGTTCCTTATGCTTTCTCTCACGGTTTCCAACTATTCAATCAAGTTTTTTTTTCACCAGTTAACATAAATGGAAAAGAATACACATACTTCTCTCTTAAGCTGCAACATAAATACGAATGACCCTGCAAATGTTGTTGTAATCCCAAAACCTTCCCCAACTGCGTGGGCTTAAAATTGGCGGTAAGAATTTCTGAAATCAATGGTAAAGTGGTCTAGTTTTAAATATATTAAAGTGATGTTTTACAAAAATACAATAGACTTGCAACAATAATCATGTTTCATGTTTATATATATCACACAATTGAGAATGAAACAATGGCCTTAATTAATGGCCGCTAGCAAAAAAAAATTGGATTAAGAAGCCATTGATGTTTGGAACATTTCTTGATTGATTGCTTCAACGTCTGACATTGCAACCATCACGAATCAAGCAAGAGAAGAACCAAAAATCTCATCCAACTTCACGCCTCAACTGATTTGATACTTCTCCAAGCTATAACTGCACATACAACAATATACTATAAGAATCATTAAGATATATTGAGTCAAATTAACTGGCTAAAGAGATTGAAATGAAAACATAGCTAGAAATTCCAACAAAAGAGAGCTCACTTGAACCTACTGGCAATTTTAATGTTGCCAAGCAACTTCTAATCTTATTAGTTAGACTTAAACATAAAAAACAAAGGCTCACTTCTAATGTCATTGAGATATTTTCCAAATCATGAATATGAGTTTGTGTCATTCACTGTTCTCCTAAACAGTTTCCTCCCTACCACCCCATCACTCTATCCCCTTCTTTCCAAAACAACAACAAAAAGGAAATTGAGAAAGAAGAGTCGTCGAAAAGGAAGGAGGAAACATTTGGGTTTCCTGCAAATGAAAATTTGGGTTTCCTTAATATCTCCGTTAATACTACCAAGATTCGCTAGACAATGTTATGTTGAAAGAATTGATCTTTGACCATTTAGCATAATTTGTTTCGCATGATGAACATATTTCCAAAACTTCTGACAAGATTCTTTATGTTTTTTTAAAGATTAGTCACACAGTTTCTCATAGTAGGTGGAACAATATGATCTCCTTAACACGTTATGCACGAGCATGAAAATGATTGGGGGGGGGGGGGGACTTAGAACCACACTGCAAAATAAAATTGTCATTAGAATGGACTATCGTACTGTTATGTTCATTCTTATTTATCTTAAGGGTTTTCAACTTTCAATAAGGGCAGATTTTTTATTAGTTAACATAATTCTAAACAATGAAAAGGAGATGTTTGTAAGGGTAGATAAAGGTGTGGACCCGACGGTTCAAAAAAGTAGGACATCATTATCTGTGAAATAGAAAACCATTGTCATTTTCTTGTTCGTGAAGCTAATACAATTTTGAAATTTTTAAGAAAACTCTTCGGTCGTTTGTTTTTTTATCATTTTTGTCCATCATGTGATGATTGCATGTAAATGAGGTAGTTTCAGTTTCATCTCTTTCATAAACTGAATACTCTAAACAAATGTATCAAGGAATACACTGATGAGTCTATCTCAAACACTTTTGTCTAACATTAATGTTTCCATTGTAAACTCTCTTAAATGAACACTTTACGACTAGTATGTTATTTTTGGATATACTAATTTTTGTCTTGTATGTTTGAAGAACATTATTTCATACATTTTTCTTCACAAACTTCATTAGTTCCATACTAAGACCACAAAACAACACATATACTTTTGGCTTTTTGATGGAATTTGAAACAGTTTAGAGTATAAGAGCAATGAGAGTAGTGAGAGAACATTCAAAACCATGAGAAAAAGAATTAGCTAGAATACAAAACAAAGATACTAAAGATTTGTTGTCGGGTTAATGGAACAATAATTTGTGAATGTAACTAATTTGATAGGAAATTTATAACTTGTCTGCATGTTATAATCAAATTACACAAATTGAATATAAAAATGAGGAGCACATGGTTGACATTTACAAATAGTACATAGTCCCCTTGTACTCCAAGTGTTTGCGTGATGAAGAAAAATCTTCTTTCATGTGTTGTCTTTCCTTAACTCTATTACTTATCTGCGAACACTAAGGAGAACTGCATATGTTTTGAACATCTTAACTCTAATAACAAACACTAATTAAGATGTCAATTCACAAAAACAAGTGCATGAGAAGAAAATTAAACAACCTACATATGTGAAAAACTTATCACCATAACTCTTTAGTCTTGCCCTTTGCTTGTTTCATTTGAGACAATCATAACACCTCCAACAAAAATGAGACTTTGCAAGCATGAAATGTTTTTGTAACTTGCAGCATCTTTTGTGTTATTATGTTAACTATGATATCTTTCTTTTTCTTTGTAATCAATTGGTTTATTTGTTTGAAGTGTGTTCTTTGTATGTAAAGGCGAGAGTCATTGCTAGTAGCACGAAAGCAAACTTTTTTAAGGCAAGGGATACAAAATCTTGCCTTAACCCTCCTCTCTCATTCTAAAGGTTGTATCTCGATTCCTAACCAAATTGTTTGACTTGATAGTCTTATTTGTTTGAGTTAGGTTGTTTCTAGTGTCATTGTTCTCAAATACATAGGAGAAATTGCCAAATTGATATGATAAATGAATAGATCTGCATTCGATCACGATGTAAGAGTCTTCATTTCCTTCTTTATGTTTTCTATTCTACATAAAATCAAAAGTACATTTCACTAATTCTAGGTGTGCTTTGTTTTCTCTTAGTGACATTCATGGATAATTTTCTTGGATGAGATAGACGCAAGGGGAAAAGAATCAAACATGAAATTCAAAAACGGTGGTGGAGTTTGCTTAATCAATTGGATGACATTTATCATCTAGGAAAGGTATTGTTCATACTCTGACCTTTTGAAATATGGTTTTGATTTTGATTCGCTTCTATAAAGAACTATCACTGATAAAGTTGTCGTTATATTAGGTTAAAATGCTCATGGCAACCAACCGGTTCAATGTTATCGACCCTACACTTGTTCAAGTAGGCCGATTTGACTGAAAGATAGAGATACCATTAGCAATGCCAACGAGCACTTAAGCATGGAGATCCTTAAGATCTATGCTTCTAGAATTTATGAACACCGGGAATATCGACTATGAAGCTGTCGTGAAACTTGCTGACGTCCCTAACTAAAAAAAACTACGTACATTTGCACTTGGGCTTGTCTTGATCTCAACGAACAAAACTACATGCAATGATTGTAGGGATTCACCGGAGCTCATCTTGTAAATGTGTGCAACAAAGCTGGCATGTTCGTGGTTCATGCAAAACGTGACTATATCACCCAAGAAGACTTCCATGAGTGTAATATAAAAGCTTCAATCTTTTATGCACTTTGCCTCATTCCATTGCGAGCCCACGGTCAAATTCATGATCACATTACTCATCCATTTGATCTTTTAGGTTGTGTGGAATCTTAACGAGGGCAAGAAGTTGGAATCGAGTGCCCACTATGACGCATATTTTGGAAAAGAGCAGAAAATAGTACTGACTAGTAATTTGTAACCAAGTTAAAGTGTTCGTCCGAGCCTTGTCCATTGAAGAAGGGGACTTCTTTTGTATCTTGTTGTTGTAACCAATTCTTCACTTACACAATAGATAATGGCTATGTTGTTTGTACATAGATAGAAATGGAACTAGCCTACTGCACTTGAGTTCAAATTGCCTTTTTTGTGGCAGAAGTAGAAGTAGAAGTCCATTTGGTAACCTTGTATCTCACCATCCTAACAATTTTGTAGAACCAGAATGCACTGACCAGTTGTAGCCCCAATCCCATTGCCTGGTCCAACCAAAGCATGTACAAATTCAGACATCAGAATATCAAAAAACTCTCCAATGTTGATCCTTGGCACAAGGCAACTTCAGTCGATAGTGTAAAAGGTTGACTTAGAGTTACCTTAATAATGAGTGGATTGTTGGCAGCCAGAACCACATAAGTGAGATAAGGCCCACACCCCATTCTTGCAAATGAGAAAATCGCAGCAAAAGCAATCTGTATTTCACATGGCAAGGTTCAGAATCACAAAATTCAAAGGGTCAATCAAGGGTAACTCAACTACAATGTACCTAACACTAGAGAGTTTGATTATATGTTTTGGCAACCAATTTAACAATTGGTACTGTTTTTTTCTCGTTTAAAATGCTCAACTCATCCAATATAATAATTATACAATCTGTTGCACTCTTAATTTGTTAATATGGACCATATTCTTTCAAACAAACCATAACTTAAATACAACACCTTTGTGCCTAGAGAATATATCTTCGGGTCTAATATGTTCACATCGACTAATTAAAAAAATTTAGTTTTTATTATTATTATGATGAACCGAAGCGATCTATTTGTTAATGATATTCGGCAATTTCAATTTTCACCCCAACTCTAAATACTCTCCCCAACATAAAATATGCTCAAATTCAAGATTAATCCGCGATTTGGAAGTAAGCAAAACCTCAGATGGTTAGAGTAGAAAGAGATTGGGGACTTACATCAGCTGCAAAGTTGAATTGGGTGTCTCTGTAACCAAGCTCCTTGAGCAGCTCTCTCAAGTGAAGAAAAGGACTCGAAATCTCAGTCACCCACAAAGCAGCCACCATCTCTGTCCCACACTGTTTCATTTCACCCACAAATTATCAAACTAACCCCCAGAAAAAGAGAGCTCGAGCTCTTGAATAAATTTAATCGACAGCAGAGAACTAAAGAAAGATCCATAAGAAACGGAAGACAGACACAACAAAGATCAAAACTTTGGCAGTTTCCCCATTCTATCCCAGCAAAACTCCAAAACCCCCAATCTGGTCCCCCTAAAATTTCCCAGACCTGGAGCTGGAACAACGAAACGAACCCCCTTTCAAAATCCTCTGTTTCAGGAGAAACCCAAAAGACCAAACTGAGAAAAGATGTGATTTTGACAACTGGGTTACCTTCTGATAAGCAAGCCCAGCTCCAATTCCAACAATGCTGACCAAATGGTGAACCGCATTCGCCATATCCACCCTCCTCTCGAACATACAGCAACCCAGATCGTAAATCATGTACGAGAGGCTCACCGCCAGCGTCTGCATCTGGCGCGGGGAAGAATCCGCAGCCACTGGGGAAACCGGGCGGCGCCAATCAGCTACCGTCAGCGAAGCTAAAGTGACACCCAAAATGGCGTGCAATGTCGAGACCAAGCGGTTGCAGAACTCCAAGGAGCGCTTGGGGAACATGTTCCTGGCCAAGATGAATGCCGCCGTCCAGCAAGCGACTCCTCCGGCGACGATGCTCAAGATTTGATTCTCCATTTTTTTTAAGTGCTCTGTTTTGGGCGAACAGAGAAGAGGGGAAATTAAAGGTGGATGAAGGAGCAGTGTGAGTGTGGTGTGTGGGGCAAAGAAAGAGCTGTAGGTGTTTGTCGGAATGCCGCAACGGTCCACTACCAATAGGGAGAAGTTGGTTGGGTTTCATTAAAACGGTGATTAAATTGTGAGGTTGAACTGTAGGTTGGGAGTTAGGTTTTTGATATGATGATGATGATGATATCTCCCACTTTCCGCAGGCTTTATTATGCCATTGTTGATGAGGCTATGCCGCTAGCTGCAGTTGACTGTTGAGGTTGAGGTTGAGGTTGAGGTTGCTCGTCTAAATTTCCATGGAGGGAAACGTGTTAGGTAAACCAGATGATTCATGCTTAATTGGTGAAATCACTAGAGATTGAGCTTAATATTTGCTGTTATTAACTTAATGCTCTTGCTTATTCTCTTGCATAAATTTTAGAGCAGGGTGGATTGAATTGAAACTATTTCGATTATTTATTTATTTATTAGAAGATCCATAAAAATGAAATGTCAAACTTTATGGTCAGCATGTGAATTAAGTTTGATTAGATTCACTTGGTAGTTTATACTGAATGATGTAGGCATCTAACCATATTGAATCCTTTTACAACATTGAAATAAACGAACCAAATCAAATATTTGTATGTGAATTGAATCCTTAAAAAACATCCTCATCGTTCATTTTATTTTATATCATGTTAGTTTGGTTTCGAATAGTACAATGTATGTACAAAATATACATCTATATACAAACTCATTTAAAATAAAAATACATACATGCAAAAAATAAACAAGATTGGTTGGTTACAATTGACGAACTCAAAGTTATCCAAAAACGTGCATACATCGTTAACTATTTTTCGGATAGATCCATTTGCCTAGACTCTTTTCTTTCCAATGAGTAACCAATGTTGTTAATTGCTTACACAAGGTAGGTTTAGGGTTTCAAGACTTACCTTAAGATGTTGAGATCGATTGCAAAAGAAACCCTCTCATCTAAGTCGAGCATTATGCATGTCTTACTAGTTACTACCATCATTTGCAAAAGAAAAACATGGTGATGAGTCAGCAAAAAGATATGATGCTAATACTTACGTTGGGGAGAGTTAAACTAACTTAAGATCGCCATTACCATAATAATTATGTATTTAATTACGTCGTCTTTATAAGATGTGTTCTTGGAGGAATAAGCATCTTGCTAGTTGGCATTGCGTGAGGGGCTCAAACTTTCAAGTTCCTAGGAAATTGTTAGCGAATCCTTTTGATGTAGATGAAGCTGACCGGTTTCCATATGTTTCAGGATGTTCCAACTTTGGACTAATCGTAATTAATGAGAGATATTCCAATGTGGGGCTTTTGACAGGTTTTTTAAGCATTGGATTTGCTTCTAGAGCTATTATAAAGTAAGGTGATTAAAACAATATGGGTAGGTTGTACATGAAAAATAAGCGGTAGGATATTTGATGCTAAAACTCGTCTATCTGTTTAGAATCCAATAGAAGATTTTCTCGGTCGCACCTCTAGTACGCTACAGTCTTACAAACACTTTTATAAAGCCTTATTTTTTATCAGAACGGAGGAGAGGAGGAAGAATGTGTCTTAAGCGTAGAGGATTGTCTACTTCAAAATATGTATTTGCTAGGTAGAGGTTAGTGTCTCTTAATCACTGTGACTATAACTTTGAATTGAAATAGCATACTCGTTTTAGTTATCTAATACAATACTTTTGGACACAATAAGGTGACACGATGTAAACCCTCCAAACAGATTTGAGGTCCAACTATAGCCAAAAAATTAAGGCCACTAGTTCTTGTGACCTTGTCTATTCAAAGGCTCTAAACCTCTTAGAGGGAACTCTTTCCCTACCTTCGATCTTTGCATATTTCACACTTTTATATCTTACACGTGTACTGACTTAAGTGGCCATCCCTACTTCTACATAAGACTGTCTTCCCAAAAAGATCAAACAAGCAAAGCTAGAATCAAAACCAACAAATCGTTGGTTGAAACAGTACTGATTGGGCAGAGATATGATGGGCTGTTTAGAGTGGGGAAACCAAAATATTATTGAGGAAACATGTCAGATAGCCTCAGAAGACTTAGACAAGCGTCCTATCTCCTATGCAGCTGTTAAAAAAACGAGGCAAAAAAAGGTAGGAAAATAATTTGTCAGAAGTGGGATTTGAACCCACGCCCTCTCTCGAAGACCAGAACTTGAGTCTGGCGCCTTAGACCACTCGGCCATCCTGACTTTGATGTCAGGAAATGTGCCATTGACATATTTTAATTAGAATGAGTGTTTCACTAAGAGGCTCCAAAGCCACCTCTCTGTGACCTGTGCCAATGTTTTTCTGAAGACTGAAGTTGCAATCCAACTTAAACTATGGCTGGATATTACATCCTGAATACAAATCCGATGGATATGAATTAGATAAGGGTTTTTTGCTTTGTTGTTGTTCGGTTGATTCTTAGTCGAAACTCGAAAGTATGCGACGATTTATCATCAACATCAGACTAGACACTAGTATAGCTCCAGTTCAAGCCGAATATTTTAAAACTCAAATTCGATTGCTTGGAGTTTTCGCATTGCTGAACGCAACAATAACCATTTAGTATTATCACTTCAACAGATGATTATGTACATCAGCAGCATGAAGACATAGTTGTCTCCCAGCATCTCCACACAAACGGATCTCACAAATTGACAGTTGCTACAACGTGAGTTGCTCAGTGATGCTCAGGAGTCCAGATCTATAACTCGGATGACGAAGCTTCACTCCCAGCTCGCTCTTCATACGAGCATTGGACACCCGTTTCTCGCCTCTCGAGCTCCTCTTACCGAAGACACATGGCTTGTCCTCCTTGGGGGTCAGAGGTGCTTGCTCGATGAAGCCAGGCCATTTCTTTTCGACCAGGTCCTCTGCATATGCAAATACCTCCTCTCGTGGAGCCGGGTCATCATCCACGACATTGTAGATTCTCCTGTTTAAGTAAGAAAGAGATCATATGGGGCATTCACTTGTAGCTCATAACAGACGCATATATCATCCCGATAGAACCCACACCTAATGGATGGCATCTCGATGGTAGCCCGGAGGGCCTGACAGATGTCCTCTACATGAACTCGGGATGTATACCGCTTGGACGATCTCATTTTCTGACGTGAAGTCAAAGGTTGCTGCTTGATCATTGTGTCGATGGCACTATGAACAAACGAGCAGCATTTATAGATCAATATTGACAACTAACAAACGGAGAAATGGTTTTAGTAGTACTGAAACCAACATGTATAAGCATGGAGAAGAAAGTGCCACAACCTTCTGCCAGGGCCATAGATGCCCCCAAGTCGAAGCACTTGCGTTGATAACCCTAGTGAATCGCCGAAACTTAACCATTCATTCTCAGCAAGCAACCTTGATTTTGCTGGCTCAATTGAAGGGTTTGCTAGGTAGCTGCCACAGTATGGTTTGTGTATAATTACTTCCATTCGATGTGAATATTAGTTCAAACATTACAAAGTGGGATTGCTTCCTTACTCCTCATCGACCCAAGCACCTGAACAATCACCATATACGCCTAACAGGGAATGCAAAAGTCATCAGGAGAAAAGATTGCTAATTTTACCCTCAAAATTGAGCTGCGACTTGGTAGCCAATACTAGAGTTTCGTAAACTAAGTTACAGGAATGATACCAAGATTACATACCAGTAGAAGACAAGTAGCAGAGCCATTGAAGACTTCCATCCCCCAAAGCACCTCTTAGAAGCTCTCCATGCTTCAACAACTGGAAGAATCGAAAGAGACCAATGCAGCCGAAAATAGCACTGACATGAGCAGAACATTATTGCATATGAACTATAACCTACTCAAAACAATGGGAAACCAAAGCTTGACCAAAATATCAATTTTGCTCGCATACCGGATCCCCCAGACCAGGAACTGGAGGGATGGAGACAAGGAGGTGAGTACAGCTACTAACAGAACTCAAAACGCTGGACCTGAAAATCTTGATAACCAAAAATCAGAACACTTCCCGTAACGTGAACAAGACAAGCTTTCTAAGCTGCTAGAAATTGAGGAGTTCTCAGAACTACTCACTCAGGCTCACTAGCATTGAAGACAAAAGCATCAAACCCTATCTCCTCGAGCTCCTTCTTCTTCCTTGAACTCCTGCAAGTCCCCTTCACAACCCTAAATCCGTTCATCCCAAACGCCTAATCATCTTTCTCGATATCTATTTGAACATGGAGCTAAGTTGAGCTAAAGGGTAAGTTGGAAACCTTACCAGCCTTCATTTTTTAGTTGCTGGCCGAAGAATTGCCCCACGTATCCCATTCCCAGCATAAACATCCGACTCTCAACCAAATCAACTGTCTTTGAAGGAGAAAGAGAAGTAATGGCGCAAGGAAGCGGTCGAATTGGGTGGGAGATATCCTTCGTCCCGGTGAAGAACTGAGCCGGTAGTCGGCATATCACCATTTCCTGTCCTGGCTGGCCGGTCCCTCTGAATCGCCGGGGGAGACTGAGGTGAAATGTCAAAGAATGCCGGCGTGAGCGGAAACGCTGAATGCGCGGTAGAAGCGCGATGGATTGTTCACAGACCTGACAATTGGAGACCGAACTCACTAGTTAGGCCCATTCTAGATCGGGCCGAAGCCCATCTATAGCTTGGGAAATACCCAAACGGGGGCGGGCCTGCCTTTTTACGTTTGCCGGACGCGCCGGATGACAGTACCAACGCGGCGGTTCTTAACTTCAGTTCAGTCGTTGTGATTCTGGAAACTGAAGAGGATAACGAAAATGGAAGAATGAAACCCGGGAGCAGCTTGCTGGGAACCCTGCCGATCTAAGATCAGTGAAGCAACCATTTTCAGGTGGCTTGCCACCCCAAAGGTAATTCTCTCTCGCCAATTGCATTTTCTAGGGTACCATTGATTTTTGGTCAGCCTCGAGAAACACGATGAAATTCCTCGAACAATGAACTGTTGGGTACTTCAATCGAAATTTGGATCTTCAAGCTTGGGTTTTTAATGTTATCCCCTTATGCACTTGGTTTCAATGGTTTCCTGAGAATCAGCAGCTGAATTAGGGGTTTTATCCAGTCCCACTTTAGTTGATGTTATCGTATAATGGTTTAAGATGAAACGCGGAAATGGAGGATTCTGATTTCTCTGAACATTTCCTTATTCCTATGCATTCAATCTGCAGGTAGAAGGAAATGATTCTAAATGGATGCACGGTATCTTCGGGGTATGTCTATACGAATACCAGGGCTGGTCAACCCACATTTGGTAGGTTGGCGTCTGCTCGTGTTCCATGTAAACCTGCCAATGCTGCATCCTTAAGCATTAGAAGTTCTTGGCAGGGGCCAAAATCTTTTTCCTCTGGAACTTTATGTAAGTATGATCATCAAGGTCTATGTTAGGTTCGCTACTGTCATCCGAGTTTGTTTTTGATAAAACACTGATCTTTAATGGAAGGTGGGTTGCGTGATCTCTCTGCTGTATCAAGCCCACTCCTTAATGGGGGATGTGGTGGACTATTGCGCTCGATTCCCTCTCTTCCAAGAAAGCGTGGATCCAATCTCCCTGCTCGAGCAGCAAAAGATGTGCCCACTAGCTTTCGGTTCCCACCAATGACCAAGAAGCCGAGATGGTGGTGGAGAACCCTAGCATGCCTCCCTTATCTGATGCCTCTCCATGAAACCTGGATGTATGCCGAGACAGCATATCACCTGCACCCCTTTCTCGAAGACTTCGAGTTCCTGACATACCCATTTCTCGGAGCTATAGGGAGTTTACCGGGCTGGTTCTTGATGGCATATTTCTTCGTTGCTTACCTGGGAGTTGTAAGGAGAAAGGAATGGCCTCATTTCTTCAGGTTCCATGTGGTTATGGGTATGTTGCTTGAGATTGCCCTCCAGGTTGTTGGCACAGTGAGTCGTTGGCTGCCACTCGGTATCTACTGGGGCAAAGTCGGGATGCATTTTTGGACAGCAGTGGCGTTCGCTTACCTCTTCACGGTCTTGGAGTGCATAAGGTGTGCTTTAGCCGGTATGTACGCTGACGTCCCCTTTGTGTGTGATGCTGCTTACATTCAGATTCCATACGACTAAGGGTAGCATTGCAGGTTAAGATAGAATCTAGAAACCTTGGTCTGTACGTTGTTGTAATGCTTACTTTTCCCATATGAAGTCTCTAGTTGCAAGCATTTTAAGTCATGAATCTTTTGTGTGCTTCCCTATCTCTGTTTGGATGAACAAAGAAGTTAAAAAGTCACCATTGATGTTTTAACCAGAGAGATACTTTCTCAACCAGCGCCATGGGTTTGATCTAACCATAGGGTTAGTTTCTGGATAACTTGTTCAAGTAAGCACATAGAGTGCCATGCTTTTTGCTCCTTATTGGTGAAATGCCTCTGTTGTTTCCTTCCTAGAGAAAGAAACAATTGTCAACATCACAAGGACGAGTGAAAAAAGTTTGGGTCACAGTGGAGAACAGCTACTCAGGTTTGTGATTTTCTGCGTCAGATTGGTCGTGGAACTCACTTGAGACAAATAGAAGTTAGACTTGCACCCTTTTACCCTTTTCCCTTCACTGAAATCTAACAAGTTTTAACTCTGCCATTGATTTCCTGATTGCCTTTCTTTCTCTTATTCCGCCTTTCTTTCTCTTATTCCGCCTTTCCTGCCAAATTTGTTGGAAAAGCAGTGTAAGGGTTCATCTCCCTTATTCATCCATTCTCAGTTCCTTAGGTTTTGGTTGTGAACCATTCTGCCTACCATGTCTACATTTTCTCGGTTTATCGTCACTGGTTCGGTTCAGTTTGATCCGAGAAAGACCCACCACAAGGCTGACAAAACTCTCTTTGTCAAGCATTGAAAGAAACATTTGCCTACTTATCATCAACAAGCACTTATCAAATAGGCTTAGATGATACCATTGAAAGCAAACTTATTATTAGTATACAAGAGGAGCCAATTAGTGTTGTTTCCTAACCCTAAAAGGATAAGGTTGAAATGGGTCATTCGAGTCTCGATAATAGAATGCTTGACCTAACCCAATAGACATTTTATGCAAAAGAACTATATTAGTACTAATTAATCGTGTTTTTTTGGATCCCACTTTAGTAATGAAGTTTAGTAGTTTACACGTCGCTGTGTGAGCACACCTGATTGTTTGTTGGTTGCTGGCTTTCTCTATCAAAACTCAAAAGCATATTAGACTTTTAAAAAAAATTATGTCACGTAACTAAATCATTAACCCTTTTTAATCCACTTTTGGTAAATGATGGGGTGATGTAACCGTGAAAATGGGAAGCCATCGCACCATTCAACTCATCATCAAAACCCTTTTAGAGTTTCTGAATGGATTGAGATTTTAGTAGTAGAATTATTCTGGACAAAATAGTCACCCACTTCCCACTAGCTCGTTTTGTTTTTCTTGGAACAATGGCAATAATTCTTTTGGGAAAAGGAGGAAAAGTTACTGGCTGTGATGTTGGCTCCCAATTCGACACTGATATCATATAGGTCAATCAATTCTTACTTCTTAGGGCTTTGCTTTGGGACAATTATTATGAGGTCTTGGGGATATGTACTCAGTACTCGTCATTTCTTTTCGAGTTGCACGACATGTTTTTTGGTGTCTGAATTTCGCATTGGTTTCATTATCGAAGTATCGGAAAGTAAAAAATTTCTTCATTATCCTTTTTTGTTTCCGAAGTATTCATAATCGATCATTTGCTGTTAAATAGGGTCTCATCGCACTGGGCTTGTTGTTGATCATTGACTTGTCGCCTAGTCGACGAAAAAGATTACGTCTAATTTCTAAAATACACCTACTTCTTCCTTCTTCTCGTTCTGCTTACAGATTCATTGCCACAACCACCGTCATCATCCCCGTCTTCCTTCCTCTAGGGTAGCATGGGTCTAATTCCTCTTTTCTTATCTTCTTCAGAACTGGAGTCAATATTATAACCTCATCACCACCACTGAAATTACGCGTTTTCTGTTACCTTTCTCTCGGAGACTTGTGATTGTGTCTTTTCAAAGTGTAACTAGACCGTGTCACTGTGTGTGTAAGAATTGTTGAGAACGGATGGAGAAGGAAGTAAAACTGTCGTATACTCCAATCTATGTGAGCATTACCCGATCCAACTCGTCCTCGTAGTCATGACTAGAGTTGAACAAACGGATCAATCTCCTAGCAGATCAATACATTTGGATTGTATGAATTATGAAACACTATCCTAGCTAATATCACAAGTTACAGGTTGATTGGGGGAAGTTTTTGAAAAGGAGAAACAACGATCCTTTGAATGTTTTCTTGGTTGACTTAGGAAAATCATTATACACAAAGTGGGTTTTGTTTCTGATAAGCAGGATAACATCTCAATTGGAGAGTGGTGCGCCTTACGTCGAAACTATCGTAAGGGCGGTGCCATACTGCCATTGCCAGCCCAAAAAAGAGGCTACAACAATAATTCCATCTTCTTTAAGATGATTTATTATATAATCAATTACTATTTTCATCAGAGAAGCCCTTTGTTTGTTAATTTTAATCTCATTTACCTATAATCATTAAAAATGGGGATTATTGAATGAACGTGCAGTTGCAGGAGGGGCTCGACAGTTTTGGGACAGCCTCAATTTTAAAATTACGTTAGATTAGTTGTCCTAACTGGCCTTTGGTGCCTAGCTAGTTGGGGTTTACCATACTGTTCTTTGTTTCTTCTTCAGAATCTCAGTAATTCTTCTTCAATTTACAACTAATTTATTATACTTTGTTTTTCAGTTGATAATTTTACTTGCTAATAATGTTGAATATAAGAATGGTATATTTTTTTCGATGAATGGTAAGAGTCTATAAGAATGAAGAAGGTTAAAAGTCAAAAGCAAAAGCATAAACCAGCAAAAGGAAGCATAAAGAGTCGAAAGAGATAAAAATATAATTAAAAAAAAACTTATGTTGCAAGCAAATTAATCTCTTGAAACTGAACAATTTATATTCATTTCATTATCGTTAAAACACAATTTCTAGAAACTCAATTATATCAATTTCTCCAAACCAATCACGCGATGCGAATTCCCTGCACAGCCTCTCGCACATCAGAATTTATTTAGCCAACTAGCATACAGTGAATCGTACGAATAAGCATTTCTTGCTAATTATTAACCATAATTATATTTTAGCGCAGACATATTTGGAATTTGAAGCGAAATGGGGTGTACGGATTCAATAAATTGGTGGTAGCCAACATATTAAAAAAATTATATTCCCTAAGATGACCTTGAATTAATTAAAAATTGGAAAGTACAGCACACAATTAATTGCAGGCAATAAATCAATGGTGCCAAAAAATCCTCTTAATATACAAAACAAAAATAAAAAAATTAAGGAAAAGATACGGTTTACATGCATTGAACGAAAAGGGGGGAAAATAATCGGCGTATATCAAAACGACAGGGCATAAAATGGACGACAGGAGATGGGAAGAGAACCCATTTCAGATTGTTTTATTCCCCCTTTTCTTTTATTTTGTATTTTTAATATAATTTGTGTTCTTTGAAGTAAACTAATAAGTTGGAGAAGAGAATCCCTGGCTGAGCTTTTTATAGCATATTTTAACCTCAATCAAAGTGAAGAATAGCAATTTTTTTTATAGAAATGAAGAATATCATCTTTGGATTTTAAGTAAATCCAGCCTGTTTCCATTCGCACTCGGAATTTGATGCATATTGTTGTTTCTTTAGACAAATTGGGTTGAGCACCAATATATAATATTAGCAATATTACAATTTACAAGACAAGATTATACATTTATACGAATAACATTATTCAAAAGGTTGATATTGCACTAATGTCTGGTATTAAAAGCATCTGAACTGTGTGAAACAAAGAACAATGGGAAATTTTATCTAAAAGACAATCGACGATGAAATTTCTCCATGTAAATATGAGAAACGCTCATTACTCATTATTTATGGAGAAGAGATCTCACCTCGTGTCTTGTAGACAATCGACGCATGTAGATGCTCTCGACTTATCTACAAAACACGAGGTGAGAAGGTGCATCAGACAACTCCACCTATAATGCTACTATTGTAGTAGCAAGTCTCATGTGTTCTCACGATCTTCACAAATGACTCTCAAAAAGTAATGAAAGATCTTTATGTGACAGACAATCGGTACTATGAAGTTCCTCTCCCTATAAATATGAAAAACGCTTGCGAATCATTATCCCTATGGTAAGGCTTTAACCCCATTATCTGGTTCAAACCTCTTGAACGTAAAAATTTAGCCCCTCATTCAGATTTCTAACTTCGCCACTGATTGTAACAGCAAACAATAGTAGCAAGCGTCATGATTCTCGTTAAGGTGCATTGCCTTGCCCCAAGTCGTCTCGAGATTGGATGTCATGGGGTCCGCGTCTTCTTCTCTATCGAGCCACCTAGTCCTAGCCATTTTTTCATAGAGCTCTAGGTCCTAATACAACTAAAATAATTCCCAACACATCGACATACAATAACTTCAGGTTGGTTAAAAATCTTTTCTTTTCCCCCTATTTTTTTCGCGATCTTCAAATCGACCTTTGATTCTTTGGTCTCATATCTTGGTTCTTCCCGTTAATTTGTTGTTAGGATTATTATTGCATTCTGGACTGTTTGGCAATTTGGAAGGACCAAATTGTATATTCGCACAATATTTGTGTGGTGATTTAGAGGTAGATATCTCTCTCTAAACCTACGGCTACACAACAACGATCAAAAGATACAAAGTATAGTAAACGCAATAAAGTACTAACACTACTAAGTATGCCTTTGTTTATTGAAGATCTCAACACTAAGTATGCGCTTTAATCAAATTAATAATGACCTAGAACTTGGTTCAATGGGTCACTTTCACCTAAATGTTAACGATGAAGAGCCAACGCAGAGTTCAAAAATCAAGAGGGATTAATAATTACTAAACACACCACAAACCATATTTAACAGTAATAATATTAATTAGCCACTTGCGAGGCAGACAGAGAGTGGCCAAATTAATAATTCCATACACATAGATCCATCCAAGGTGGTGATCATTCTTTTACATTTTACAATCTTAGCCCACAATTCTTATACCCATTACATAACAATCCCCAATCTTTTACCTTTTATCCATTTTCACTCTCTTTCCTGGGGTCCACCCATTGTACTAGACGTCAGCGTACCAGAACAACTCACCACTACCGTCCGATGAAACAACAAAAGGACATTCCAACATCCAATCACCACCGTCCATTCCATACGTTTCATTTCCAATTTCTTTTGTCTTCTTCCCAAATTCGTTTCTTTCCTCTTTTTTTACTTCAGTACTGGAACAAGTCCGGCGACGCCATGATCGGTTGGTTGAGGTAAATCGAGTTCAACGGGTTGATCAGAAAACCCTCCGGCTGGAGGAAATGATCCATCGTCTGATCCCCCTCAAAGAACCCGTTCCCTCCGCCGGGGCCGCAGCCGGCGGCGGCGTTGTTGTTTCCGATGAAATCGAGGATCTCGGTGAGGGAATCGAGGCGGTTGCTGAGCTCGACGATCTGGGCGCGGAGGATCGAATTCTCTGCCTGGACGTTGAGATAGTTCTGGGTAGTGACGTTGATGGCGATCAAGATCTGGCTATTGTCCTTTCTGAGCTGGGTCACCTGCCCCATCAGCTCGTCGAGATGCTTCTGCTTCCTCTTCCGCGACCGCCGTGCCGATTCCCGATTCGACTGCATTCTCTTCCTCTTCCTCTCGTCCATCACCAGCTGCTGCAGGTCCTCGTCGGACCCGGAGTTCTGGAGCAGGGCCGATGAGCCGCCGGAGGAGGAATTCCCGCTGGAAGACGCCATTAACAGAGACAGTAATAATAAAAACAGGACAACAACAACAACAACAACAACCCAAATACGATCGGCTGCAAATTTATCTACAATTGGAACTAGTCTCTCCTTATAGCTGCTGAGAGAGATTTTTTTTTCCGTTAGGACTGACCCAGATGGTAATAGTTTCTGGGTATAGTAATAATACTTATGAATATGTTGCTAGCTTAGTAGTACTCTCTGTACTATAGGAACAGGGGATTGGGGAGATGGTTTATGAGAAAACATAGAACCAGTAAAGGAAGACAACTGAGAAAGATTGAACGAGATGGGTCCTGCGCCTGAGCGAGGAATCGACCATAAACCCAGAACGAAGGATTTCACTGAGAACAGGAGACATGAGTCTCGAGCATCAATTTCAACCTCTGCAGCATCAATTTTCAGGGGAAAACAGGGGAATTGGGGGAAAACAGAGCAATGGAGGTTAGGGGGAAAAAGGGCAGAGCTTTCGCTCTTAAAGGGATGGGGGAAAGGAGGGGCAGAGTAAAAGCTGTAAGGCTAAGGAGGGGGAGAAGAGGGGAGAAGGGAAGGGAAGAAGAAGGTATCGGAAGACGAATTTATAGAAACCAGAGGGCGAGAGGGAAAGTTTGGGGGTGGAAAAGCAGTGGAAATTAGGAATCTACAAATTTTGAGAAGAAGAGTTTGGTTGGGTGTGGGGTTGAGGAGGGCAGTCAGTCAGTCATTCATTAGAGAGGGAAAGGCAAGTGGGGTGGAGAAATATAAAATTTTCACAGCTGATTGCCAAGAAAGAAAGAAAACACTATCTTCATCTCACAGCCATTCTTAACCCATTAATCTCTTCTTTATTAAAGATCATTAGCTAGTTAAGTATTTGAATTGACACTTAACTAATATAGCATAGCCCATGGTTGTCAAACCGGTCTCATGCCGGCCGGTTCAACCGGGTACAACCGGTACCGGTCACCAAACCGGCTGGAAAGAGGCCGGTATTTAACTATGGTCAAATCCGGTTAATACCGGTCAGACCCGGTCAATTCCGGAAATTCCGGCCGGTTAGACCAGAAACCGGAATTCAATGTTACACCTATTTTATCCAAAAATAAATGCCCTCCTTAGGATTTGAACCATGTACCTCCTGTTCATTTTAGACTCTCTTATACACCAGTAGACTACAAGCAACTTTGTTGTACATATTAATCTTATATATTATATATCTAACACTAAATTTTACACAAATCATTATAAATATTAATAAAATTCATTTTATATACTTTTATTTTTAAGCATCTAATTGTTTAGTATTAGTTACCAATTCTTAGCTATAAATTATTTTGTGTGAAATAATTTTTCTAATTGCTTTTTGATGACTAATTTATTTGGAATTGAGGATTTTCATTTGTCTCATATATTTTATTAAAACCGGCACAACCGGCGTGAATACTGGTTGTACCACGGTCGGACCATTCCACTTTCAAAACCGGCACACCGGCATAAACCGGTTTGACAACCTTGGCATAGCCGCATAGGGGTGGGTAGTAATTGGGACATTGGGTGCATATAGTAATCGAGTCGAAGATTAGATCGAGAGTCAGATCGTATGATATATGAATCGATTTGGTTTTAAGTATATAAGAGTATATTCGATTTGATTTTATTGGATTCTTAGAAAATGAAGCTATAAAATATGTCAAACTAGGTGGCAAGGGCTACATGAAATCATTCTCGCCTAGAATATCTAGGTCAAAGTCTCCCTCGCCAAAATTTTCCACTCTTTCTCAAGAAGTTGATGATACTGCTCAAGCAACCCCATCAGAGTATGACAGTTGTCGCGACCCTCTGGCAGATTTGAAAATCCAGGAATTGGGTTGTCAACGGTGCAACAAGGAATGAATCTCACTCATCCGGAGAAATGGTTATAAAAGAGATGTGCTCTAAAAAAGGCAAGCATTGTAATAATCTCACTTAAACAATCCTAGAAATCATACAACCACTTTATGTCCATTTAACTTAGTAGTGTCGACTTTGCCGGCGGCTTCAAAATAAAATAAGAATTGTCTAAATTAAACCTAGATTACTTGGATGGAGCTATCTTGAATCGTTCGCATGGTGCAGGGAGGTTGGTGGTTCGTGATGCGATGGGGGTATTCCCTATGTAAAAAGTTTTTATTATGCATGTCTCGAGGATTCTTTTCTAGTGAAATTAGTAGCTTTCTGGGATGCGATTCAGTGGTTCTTTTGAAGGGTCTAACTAAGGTGATGTTCTGTGGGGATGCGAAGGTGGTTGTCGAGAAAATACAGAAGATAGATGTACGAGATGTGAAGGGATGTCGGATTCTGGTAGAGATTGCGAGTCTTCGACAACATTATCAGAGTTTAGGGATCTCTTTTGTCGGCAGGAGTAACAACTGGGTGGCCCATGACGTGGCCAGGAAGACCCTTTCTTTCTTGCCTGCGATTGTAGATAGTTTTGATTTTGAACGTTGGTTCTTACTTGGATTGTAAACTTTGCTAGCTTTTGCCTTGGTAATACAAGTGATCTATTGGTAAAAAAAAAAACTAGATTCAAATTGAAGACCTTTAGTATATGAGACTAGCGTGATAACCAACTAAATCACCCAAACATGACAATAAACTTTGAATGTTTATCGTAGGTAAACTTTTCAAAGAAATATTGTTTTATCCTCCTACAAGTGTCGTCGGCAATTCGGTGAATGAAGCTGTGTGCTCATTCTTCACTATGAGCAAGATGCTACGTAGCATTAATCATACTTGGCTGACACTGATCCCTAAGGTGGATAATGTGGAGACCATAAGGCAAATTAGACCAATCAGCCTTTGCCAATTTGTTTATAAGGTTATAACAAAAATCATGGTTGAAAGCTGTCCTATCTCCTGTCACAAATTATCTCGGAGGGTCAAAACTCATTTATCCGTGAAAGACAGATAGTTGAGAAAGTCCTACTAGGGCATGAGTTAATGCATTACTTGAAAATTAAAACGCAAGGTAAGAAAGGGTACATGACTCTAAAGGTTGACATGGAAAATGTCTATGATAGAGTCGAGTGGCCCTTTCTCCTTGCGGTTATGGACAAGATGAGTTTTAACTCTACATGGAGAGGATGGATACATGAATGTCTCTGATCCACGACATTCTCGGTCCTTATGAATGACATTCCTTCTGGATTCTTCTCTCTTCAAGGGGGGATCCATTATCTGCGCTCCTGTTTGTAATCTACACGGAGAGATTTGCGGCCCCACTTCGGAAAGCCATTTCGGGAGGGAAACTTGAAGGGGTTAAATTTCCCCCCAAAGCTCTCGGATTACGCATATGTTTTTTTTTTTTGCGTATAATTCTTATTTATTCCTCATAGGATCCCTCTAGGAATGTGAATCTGATCGATGTTTTCAATGAATACGAGGAACTGAGTGGTCAATGGGTTAACTTGGAAAAATCGGTATTTTGTTTTAGTAAAAATATCTCGCTGCCGGATCAAGAGTTCTTGGCCCAAATTCTCGGTGTTGGGGTTGTGGAGGTCCAAGATAAATATCTGGGATTGCCTACTTTGATAGCCCAATCTAAATTGGCTACATTCCGGTATTTGGAAGAGAAATTGTTGGCCCGACTTCAGGGGTGGAAGCAAAGGACATTGTCATGGGCAGCGAAGGAGACTCTGATTAAATTTGTTGCTTAAGCGTTGCATCTGCATGTTGTGCCATGCTTCAAGATTCCTCTTTCTCTTTGACTCCTTTTGGACAAACACATTGCTAGATTCTGGTGGGGTGTGGAGGATGGCCACTCTAGGATACGATGGATGTCCTAGCGGAATATGTGCAGGAGTAAACACGACGGGAGTATGGGGTTCCATCGGTTCGAACATTTTAACCAAGCTCTCTTAGCTAAGGTTGGATGGTGTATCCCTAACGATCCTACCTCCCTCTTAGCCCAGGTTTACAAATGGAAGTATTTTCCAAATGGAAACTTCTTGAGTGCTACTGCGCATTCTCGGCCGTCATGTGGATGGCAAAGTATCCTTTATGGCCGACAGTTATTGGTCATGGGATTGCGCTGGCAGATTGGTAATGGCCAGACTAGGGGTGGGCATCGGTTCGGTTCGGTTCAAACCGAACCGAACAGCAATATACCGATACCCTGAGTGCCCCCAAAGCTCAAACCGATTTCGAACCGAATTATATTTCGGTTCGGTCTGGCCGAACCGAAATATAATCGGTTCGGAATCGGGAACCCGATGAAACCGATGCTTCCCATCAGTCTTAATGCAAACCTCACAAATTCCCATTCTTCTTCCCCTCGATTCCCACTCCCAGACAGAACCCAACCCACACCCTATATTCCTTCCAATCCCAACCCCATCTCCCACTCTAAAATTTCCTCTTCAATCGTGCACTATGGGAAGAAATCTCATTTCTTCTTCTTTCTCATTGCTTCCATTGTTGCGTTAGTGCGTTGCCAACTCCTTCTTCCCCTAAATGCCACAGCCACCAATCCCAATCTTTCACTTTCCTAATTCCACCAACGGCAAAATCAACTCCACTCTGTCGTCCCACACCGAGCCCGCAACGCCGCCGCGGGATTAGTTACATGAATTAGCCGGCAGCAGATCGAGGAGGGGGCTGCAAGCTAGCTTGGGTGGGACTAGAAGGCGTTTCCAGATCGGGTTGGCGATAGAGCTTGTCTCCTTGCCGCTAGTTCAGGGTCGCTACTGATTGGTTTCTCCTGGGACCTGGATCGTCGTGAGATGAGAGGGGAGGCGAGAGAGGTCTGGGAAGATGAGAGATGGTCGGCGAGCGACATGCAACAGGTGGGCGAGCGGCGCGGCAAATGCTATAGTGTCTCTCTCTATTTTTCTTAGGGTTAGGAAGAGTCTAGATGAGGGTGGGAGCCTATGATGACGACGTGGTGGGCTGAGGGGTGAGGGGGAAGGGTTTGGGCCAAGGCCCGAGATAAGGTGGGCTGAGGAGTAAGGTAAGATATGTGGACTGAGGTGATTTTCGGTTGTTCGGTTCGGTAATCGGAATCTCGGTTCGGTCGAGAAGATCCTGGTTTCCGAACTAACCACATTACCTTTCCGAATTCCGAACCGAATAACTTTATTTCGGTTTCGGTTCGGTCTTGATCGGGTTCGGTTCGGTTCGGTTCGGGTTTACCGAACCGTATGCCCACCCCTAGGCCAGACAAAGTCTCTGCTTCATTCCAATTGGGTTCGTTGCTTACATCCCCATCCGCCAATGTACAACCCGTAGGTGTTGCCTGAAGGTGGAGTCCTGCCGGTGGCAGAGGTTTTGTGCCAAGGTGAGGGGCGCTGGTGTAATCAGAAACTTAGCTAGTGATTTAACTTGACGACTTGTCATGCCATTAAA